CTCTTCTGTCACCGTCTTCCGTAACAGCCGCCTGTCCAACGGACCTGTTCTTGGGTGGGAGTCTGTGTGCACGTGTTCTTTCATGGCCATCATGGAATCAATTCTAGGATAACCGACGCGGGAGACTTTGGATGTGAGAACTCACTCCTGAAGAAAAGGCCTGTTCCTGGCTTTGTGTCAGAGGGGATTGTGTGACTGAGTTAAAGGGGTGGGTGGGTGGGTGCGGTAGCATTATTGTTCCCTTTAAACAAAAAAGCCCCCAGATCCTAGCAACACACTTTGACTCTCCTGGCTGCTTATAGGTGTTTAAAAAAGATGAGATGAAAGACCAAGCTCAGACATCTTAAACGACTCTAAAGAGGCGAAGGACTTGAGGCTTGTTGCGTAACTAAAGCCCAGGCCCCGTTTTGTCTTTGCAAAAGCTGTTCGCAACACAAATGCTTGGAGGGAAGGGCTGGCGGTTCCCTCGAGCCAGGGAAGAGGCTGCGGGTGTTCAGAGGCGGTCACGGGGCATGTCCCTCTCTTTTTTTTTCTGGCCTCCAGGTGCAGCGGTTCCTGGAGTCCTCGTGGCAGGCCCCGGACTTTGTGGAGCGCTACTGCAACACTTACCTGTGCCTTCGCACCGCCATGGAGGAGCTGTTTGGGCAGCAAATGTCCTTCATGCTCGCCCTGTGTCACGGCTTCTCCGGGGGGTTGCTGCAGCTCTCCTTCCTGACAGCCATGCACGTGAGTCGGGGGAGGGGGCTGGGCTGGGCTGACCGGCAGGGGGGCAGCGTGGGTGGGTGTTTCCCAGGATCCTGGCAAAGGAAGGAATGGAACTGGCGCCAATCCCTCCCTCCAGACGTCTCTCAGTGGTTCATTCATCCTGATTTTGTCAGACATGGTTCCAAAAGTGTTGCAAGACTTCCTTTTACAGAGGGAGTCTTTGTCTCAGCCCCTCCTCCTCTAGATCCCTTTTGTGTAACCCCTGATCGACCAACTCTCCCTTCTGGGCTTTATTGTGCTCCCCCCTCCGACACTGTCCCTGCACATTCCTCCCACCGGTCTCTCCATCCCTCCTTCTTTGGGGTGGGCTCAGGGAAGCCCCTCCTTCTCAATGCCTGATCGGGCACCTCTGGCTCTGTGGCTTCCAGGTGAGTGAGCAGTTTGCTCGTTACATTGACCGGTGGATCCAAGAGAGCTGGGCAGATTCGGGCAACGTGGAAACCTTGCAGCGGCTGCAGCAGAGCCTGGAGCCCATCCTCTTCCTGGCCGGCCTGGAGTTGGCCAACACCTTTGAGCACTTCTACCGGTGAGACTGTGGAGGGCACGGGGGGCAGGGCAGAGAGGGGAAGGGAAGGGAAGGGGGTCCCCTTGGCTTCCTGAGAAGCGGCAAAGCTTAGGTGAGACTGTGGAGGGCACGGGGGAGGGGGCGGAGAGGTGCAGCCTGGGAAGGGAAGGGAAGCCCTTGGCTTCCTGAGAAGCGGCAAAGCTTGAATGGCGAGGGGCTGATCGCTAACAAGCCTCTGTTCCCAAGCACCCCCCCCCGTTTTCTTCCTGGGTTCGCTCTACT